GGGAGGATGGGTTAGCCTGGTGATGGGTATTAACGAGGGCACGTTCTGCATGCAGCACTAGGTGTTATACGCAAACAATGAATCATGGAACACTATATCAAAAACTAATGATGTACTCTATGGTGACTAACATAACATAATTAAAATAAAATAAAATAAAATAAAGTAAAATAAAGCATTCTTATTTCAAACAGAAAAAAAAGATATGTCTCCTCTGGCAAGGGAAACAAAAGCAAAATCAAATTACTGGGACTACACCAAAATAAAAGCTTTTGCACAGTGAAGGAAACCATCAACAAAATAAAAAGAAAATTCCAGAAAATTCACAATGTAGAGCATTGTGTAATGTATAGAATTGTTGAATCATTATATTGTACACCCAAAACTCTTATAAAACTGTTTATTAACTATACTTGAATTAAGAAATAGTTTTTTAAAAAAAGGTAAGGATTAAAAATATTATGAAATTATACGTATTATGGTATGCTTCCCCTCAGCCAAAAAACTTCTTGTATAATCATTTCCAACTATTTGGTGACTTGGTCTGCCCTCTGGAGTCTCTCAAGATAAGTTAAATTCTTCCTCTATAAGATGGTCTTTTTTAAAAAAAATATTTATTTATTTATTTTAGAGAGACAGAGGAAGTGCGAGCAGGGTGAGGGGCAGAGGGAGAGGAAGAGATAGAATCCCAAGCAGGCTCCCTGCTGAGCGCAGAGCCCTGTGGAACTCGAGGCAGGGCTCTAGGTGGGGCTCCATCCCAGGACCCTGAGATCATGATCTGAGCCAAAATCAAGAGTCAGACAGACGCTCAACCTACTGAGCCACCCAGGCGCCCCTATAAGATGGTCTTTTAAACATTTCCCTTAAGTTTTTGTTATTGTTGTTTTTTTTGTTTCTTGACTAAGTTAATTTAGTTCCTTTAAGTATCTTATTTATTATGGTTTCAAGATCTTAGAGGAGTCTGATCTAAATCCTTGGGTACATTAAATATCACTAGCATGTTTTAAGGGTTTATCAAATCCAATGAAGACCTTTTGAAGGAATCAAGGTTTCATTTAGAAAGCTTTAAACTAGGAAAGTCATAAATTCTCAGCTTGGGCAAAGTTACGCATTTAGTATGTGCTTCCAGTGTTCGGCATATATATCTTGCTAGAGGAACAATATTGTGAATGTAAAATTTAATTATTTGAGATCATATGCAAATTGAAAACAAACATCTGAGGGCAGGTCTTTTGCCACGTGCTTTACTGTTGGTTACAGGTTTGGAGGTGCAGATGGCCAGGGAGTTATATGTCATTAGGGGCATGTTGACCTTACGCCCAGGCCAGGTTATTAGCACCACTGCCTTTCCACACTCTACGTCTTACAGACTGGAGTTTTTACTGCCTTGACCTCACGACTTCTTAGAGTCCCAGCGTCACTGAAGAACCTGGGAAGGGGATAATGGACACTACCTCAATACTTTATATCAAGCATTCATTGTCATGACCAGTTAGAAGTCAAACAGCATCGGGAGTGGTGCAGATGCGCTGTGAGGTCTTTCACAATGACAGGAAATGTGGGTCTTCAAGTGGTCCTCAGAGGTCCCATGGAGGGTGTTTCTACGACGAGGGCCTGCAGAGCTGTGAAGATGTTCAAAATTATTATATATAGTCAGCTCTATGCCAAGTTGTTCATTAAAGTAATAAGTAGATCTTACTGAAGGAAGAGCACCCTTGGGTATGTGGAACAGAAGCGCCCTGTGCTGGGCAATGCCCTGGTCAGCTTTGTGCCAACGATGGGATTCTGAAGAAGTGACTCTCTGAAGAGTTACATTGATTTTGGGAATGTTATTTTATATCAGTAGCTCTCAACTGGGTGTGATTTTGCTCCCCAGGGGACATTTGACAACGTCTGAACACATTTTTGAATATCACAAGCTAGGGGGAAGGCATCTATCTAGTAGATAGAGCCTGAGATGCTCTAAACCTCCTATAATGCACAGAACACCCACAACAATGAAGTATCTGCTGCCAAATGCCAGTGGTGCTAAAAGTGAGAAACCCTGAGTTATACTTCATTGTTATAATCTGAATACCTAAAAATCCATGATTCCCTGACTGGCAATGATGTAATATCCGGGAAGAAAACCCAAATCTCAAAATGATGCCTGTGAGAGAGACCTTTGTATGAATTATGGTGATCCAATGATTGTTTTACATGTACAATTAGATATATTATCATGAAGGAGAAAAAAAGGAATTGTCTCTGCTTTAACTATTCACTAAAATGTTTTTATACCAGTAAGTACTTTTCTTTACACTTACTACTAATTTTCTTTTCTGTTTTTGATTGATGTTGGGTGTAACAATGTCAGAAATGCTTTTTAGGTACTATCCCAAAGAGACAGCAATCAGATTTCTGTGTTCATGGAAACTGAGGCAAGTTACTTAAGATCTCTGTGATTTGATATTCCCATTTAAAAATTTTTTTAATTATTTATTTTTTTACTTTTTAAAAAAATTTTTTGATGTTCCCACTTCTGGTAGGTAAAGGGAGATGGAAAAGGACCCTAAGATGATGAGTTCAATCCTGACATACTATAGGTGAAGAAAATTAAGTTCCAGAGAAAATCTCAGTACGGACTGAAAGAACACTCTAGGTTGGATGCGGAGAGGCTCCTCTTGAAAGAAATCTTCCTTAAAAAAGTAGCCTTACTAACGTTCAACTTTGTTATCTTGGGGATGTCTTTCAATTTCACAATGTACTAGAACTATCATGACATTTCAGTTCTTACAGGCTTTGATGATATCGCTGGCCTTTAGTTGGTTTGTGGGCTAAAAGGATTTTTAGGCTAGAAGGGTAAAAGAAGATTTTATTCTAGCTGAGGAATACCTGCCCTATGGAGTCGTTGCGGACATTAGAAATAATACACGGAAAATGCTCAGCACTGTGTTCACTACACAGTGGTTAGGTAGTAAATAATAACAGTCGTAGCACTGGGTTTGATAATGTGGAAACTTTGACCTTCCTAGTGAATTATCAGTTTTAACACTATACCATGCATAACATCTGAGATGTACATGTACGTTTCTAAAGAAGTATTTATTTGCTTGTTTTCAGAAATGCCTAAACCAGCTATTTTCGACCCAGAAGGTGGCTCAGTGGGTTAGGGGGCAAATGCAACTCTGTGAGCAATCCCAGTGTGCCTGGAAAGGTATGGGCCAAAGATTTTCTGTTTGTCCTTCTTTCCTACCCTTCTCTCTCCCTTCTTCCTTCATTTCTTCCTTACCTTAGAATATATTAGAATGTATTATTTTTATATTTATTAGACTAATCAACATAATTATAAAATTTTGATAATTTTCCTACTTCTCTGCCTTACCTGTCCCATCCCCAAGTCTTGTTTCCTAGAGGCAACCACCTTTACTCTTCCGGCTCTTCCCCTACTATTTACATCTATTTTCTTTTCTTTTTTAAATACATCTATTTTCTAAGTAATATTTGTAAACTGCTCTTTCTTGAGATTTTAGACTTTATCATATCTTTCTAGCATAGTAGGTAGGAACTTAGTTCTCCTGCTTCATTCACCTCCTTCAATCTACTTAGATCACACTTTTTTTTTTTTAAAGATTTTATTTATTTATTTGAGAGAGACAGCAAGAGAGGGAACACAAGCAGGGGGAGTGGGAGAGGGCTTCCTGCGGAGCAGGGAGCCCGATGCTGGGCTCTATCCCAAGACCCTGGGATCATGACCTGAGCTGAAGGCAGATGCTTAATGACTGAGCCACCCAGGCGCCCCTTAGATCACAATTCTGAAAAGTAACCCCTCACTTGGGTGAAAATCTGTGTATAACTTTGACTCCCCCAAAACTTAACTGCTCATAGCCTACTGTTGACTGGAGGTCTTAACAATAATATAAACAGCTGATTAACACATATTTTGTATGTCATATGTATTATATACTATATTCTCAAAATAACGTAAGCTAGAAAAAAAGGAAATGTTATGAGGAAAATTATAAGGAGGAGAAAATACATTTACGGTGCTGTGTGGTATTTATAAAAAAAAATCCACATGTAAGTGGACCCATGCAGTTCAAACCCATGTTATTCATGGGCCATCTGTATTAGCTTCAGGCATAAAACAATGATTTGATATTTGTATATATTGCAAAATGATCACCACAGTAAGTCCAGTTAACATTCATCACCATTCATAGTTACAGAATTTTTTTTCTTGTGATGAGAACTCTTAAGACCCATTCTCTTGGTAATTTTCAAATACGCAATCCAGTATTATTAACTATAATTGCCATGCTGTACATTACATCCCCATGATTTTGTAACTTCCCAGGGCACCTGGGTGGCTCAGTCGGTTGAGTGTTGAGTTCCATTTTGTAACTGGAAGTTCGTACTTGTTTTTTTTAAAAACCTTTATTGGAGGTGCTTGAGTGTTTCTAGTAACCTTTAAGTTTTGCCCACAACTGCAGGTCTTCGTGGCTAACACCAAGGCAGTGAGTAACGATCTACTTCTTGGTATAGCATCGTAAAGCTCTTAGGCCTTTTATCAGAAGGCGTGTGGTTGTAGAGACCACAAATTACCTGGGTGGGCTCAGTGCCTATTAATTTATGTCATTCTCAGTTTGATCACTAGCCACATGGTTGGACGGATGAAACAATGGTGGCCTGTGGTTTAGACTTAGGTGGGTCTTTTGATGAGAATTAAAACTGAACCCAAGGTAGGACCCTGACCTCAGACAGTCATGGGTAAAACTAGCCAGAAGTAAATTTGTGTATTCTGCTACAGAAACAGTGAGACAAAGAGCCAAAATAAATGAATCCACAGATATTTATTGACAAAGACTCAGAGTAGAGCTTACGTCTATCAGGTAATTGTTGATGTGCTAGACAAATGGATATGCGAAAATTACTGTCATTTTAAAATCTCAAGTGACAGAATAAATATTCTAAGTATGATACAGTGTTTCTGTGTGCCTCCCACAAGATTTTATATTTAGGTCTGGCACTTGTGCTTTTTAGTAAAAATTGCCATGAAATATATATATTTATTTAAATATTTTATTTATTTATTTGACAGACAGAGAGACAGTGAGAGAGGAAACACAAGCAGGGGGAGGGGCAGAGGGAGAGGGAGAAGTAGGCTTCCTGCTGAGCAGAGAGTCCGATGCAGGACTCAATCCCAGGACCCTGGGATCACCACCTGAGCCAAAGGCAGACGCTTAATGACTGAGACATCAGGCGCCCCATGCCATGAAATATTTTTTAAATTTTTGTTTAAATTAATACTGAAGTCTTTTTTTCCTTCCCTTCTCCTGCAACTTGTAATTCAGTTCTATCATGATGACTACTTTCTTTTTCACTTTGTTATGTCTTAATACCTGCATAAATATTATGCTTCCGGGATCATAAAGATATGTGGAGCTGTTTGTTCTTTATAGGCTGCAGAGACAGAGTCAGAGATGAATGCTTCCTTCTTAAAAGATTCAGTGATATAGACTATTCCATACTCCAACCGGAAGTGAAGATTCATCTTACTGGTCTTCGAAATGACTATTGTAAGTTATTGTTTAGATCATGAATTGAAAAGTTGTTGGAGTGACAAAATGTATCCTGTGCTGTGGCATAAACTTGAAATTTGCTTCTGGAAAAACCCAATGGCCATTGTGCCTCATGTCCCAAAGCTGTACTATCCAAATATGGTTAATGTAGTTTGGCTTTTCCCTGTGCAAATTTCATGTTTGGAATGGGTATTGTTGGTGTTGGTGGGGTATGAGAAATATACATTTTTTTGTTCTGTTTTTACTGTATTAGAATGAACTGTGAGAGTGGGGGCCTATTCTTAGGCATATATTTTAAACATGGATAAATCTAATTGGTTAAACAGCAACATTGGGTCTTCTTATTATGTACCTAGTTTATAATCTAGTTGGGATGACAGGACTATTTTTTTTTTTTAAGGTTTTATTTATTTATTTGAGAGAGAGTGAGCGAGCATGAGAGAGAACATGAGCAGCGGGAGGAGCAGAGGGAGAGGGAGAAACAGACTCCCGCCGAGCAGGTAGCCCGATGCGGGGCTCAATCCCAGGACTTTAGGATCATGACCCGAGCCGAAGGCAGACACCCAACTGACTGAGCCACCCAGGTGCCCTGGGAAGATAGGACTAACTCACATGGAACTTCTACCAACATGCTAGTGTAGAATATAAATAATGAGTTTTTGGGTAAAAGGGGCTATAATTAGTAGTTCAGTGATCTTTGGATCTTTGTCTAGAAAGACTTGTTGGAGATATTCAGACTTGAGCTGGGTCTTGAAAAATGAGTAGGATATGGAGGGGTGGGGGAGAGAAGATAGAGCATTTTCAGCAATGTTAACAAGGTGAGCAAAGGCAGGATGTTGGTAATTAATGATAATGGCAATAAAGAGAATACACTGGGGACTGGTGAATAGGTAGGTAGATGCAAATTTTGTAATCACACAGGGCCCCTCCACCCCTCCAACTTGTCTTAGGTTACTACAGTTGTCATATTTTACATCTACATACATTGAAAATCTACCATTGTTATAAATTTTACTCTAAAAACTATACATATATGTATTTTAAATAAAAGGGAAAAATGGTCTTCGTATTTACCCAAATATATACCAATTCCACTCTTTCACTCCTGATGATCCAAATTTCCCTCTCATCTAATTTCTCTTTAGCCTGAAAAGCTTCTTTTAGCATCTTTCAGATCAGGTCAGTTGGCAAAGACTTCTCTTACACTTCTTATATTCCGTTTTATGATATTTTTGCTGATATAGAATTCTGTGTTGCTAGATTTTTTTCTTTCAGCATTTTAAAGATATTAGAGTGACTTCTGGCCTCCATAGTTTCTGGTGAGAACTCTAAGGTAATTTGAAGACTTACTTTCTTGCTTCCAAGACCTGAATCTAATTACACATGTGAGAACTTTGGATATTATTCCAAAAGTCCCTGAGGTTTTGCTCATTAATTTTTCAATTCAAGGGGCAAAAGGAGAGGGAGAAGCAGGCTCTCTGCAGAGCAGGGAGCCTGATGCGGAGCTCGATCCCAGGACCCTGGGATCATGACCTGAGCTGAGGGCAGACGTTTTACCAACTGAGCCACCCAGGCACCCCTCTCTTAGTTAAGTTTATACCTTAAGTTTTGTCTTGCCTTTTGTGGCTGGTGTTTTATTTATTTTTTTAATATTTTATTTATTTATCAGAGAACGAGAGAGAGAGAGGGAGAGCACAAGCAGGGGGAGCGGCAGGCAGAGGGAGAAGCAGGCTCCCTGAGGAGCAAGGAGCCCGATGCGGGACTCAATCCCAGGACCCTGGGATCATGACCTGAGCCGAGTAGACATTTAACCGACTGAGCCACCCAGGTGTCTGTGGGTGGTGTTTTGAGTCTCAGATCAGTTCCTTCTGCCTTGACTATGCTGGTTTGGGTCTATCCCTCATATATACGGATCAGAGTCTAGTCTGAGTCCTAAATGGACTTTAAATCTCAGTTCAGTTCTCAAAGCCTTTGCTAAGCTGATTTGAGTTTTCCCTGTACTAACATGATTTCAGGGTAGGGCTGAGATGTGTGTGGGTTCATACATTCAGAACAAGAGAATGCCTTTCTGAGGCTCTCTCCCCTCCAGGACTTTCTCTACACACTTTGGCCACCTCAGGCTCCTTTCCCTGGCTCCTCTCACCAGAAAGATGATGAGCTTTCTATCAGAGTTTTAGCAGCTAATGCTGTTCCGTGACTGGGGCCCACCCTCTGGCCAAACCATGTGAGAAAAAAAGTGAGAAACTCACCCCTGGGCAGGTTGCTTCTTCTAGTTTTGACTCCTTTACTTAGTTTAACTGCTTTTGCTTATTTTCCAGTTCTGAGGGGGTTTGTTTTTTATTTGTTCGGAGTTTAGAGTTGTCATCAGTGGGAGAGGTGGGTTATCAGTGGCTTAGACCACTGTAGTGGAGCTGGTGTGCTTCATAGTTTTGTATTGATATGTATCAATGAGAATAAGAGTTTTTGTCTTATAGGAAATAAGATAGGGTTATATGTCAACTATATCTCAATTAAAAAAAGAAATAAGATAGGATACATTTTAGTATGTAGTCATACAAATATGGATTCTTTTGGCAGTCAAAGAGTTCTAATAGTAGAAGCTGGAGAACACTGCTAGGAACTTCCAGGTATCACTTATAAGCCAGTGACCACTTCTTCTAGATATACTGTAGTTGGGTGGTATTTTTGGTTTGAAATGATGGTGGCATCTTTCATATGGATATTGTAGGTTCAAGGATGTCTCTGTAAGGGTTATATGCTTTCCCCCTATGTTTATTGCAGTATTATTTACAATAACCAAATTATGGAAGCAGCCCAAGTGTTCAGTGATAGATAAATGGATAAAAATGATGTGGTATGGGGGTGCCTGGGAGGCTCAGTTGTTAGGCATCTGACTTCAGCTCAGGTCATGATCTCGGGGTCCTGGGATTGAGCCCCACACCAGGCTCCACACTCAGTGGGGAGTCTCCTTGCCCCTCTCCCTCTAACCCTCCCCATGCTTGCATTCTCTCTCTCTCAAATAAAAAAAATCTTAAAAAGAGATGTGATATATGTAGGTACATATATATACATTTGATATGCATGTATATATATATATGTTTCAGTTTTATTCAGCCATAAAAAGAATATTATTCAGCCATAAAAAAGAATGAAATCTTGTCATTTACAACAAGGATGGACCTAAGTGAAATACATCAGTCACAGAAAGACAAACACCATAGGATGAAGAGACAAACCAAAAAACAGACTCTTAACTATGGAGAGCAAACTGATCCTTGCCTGAGGGGAGGTGGCTGGTAGGATGGGTGAAACAGGTGAAGGGGATTAAGAGTGCACTTGTCGTAATGAGCACTGAGTAATGTGTAAAATTGTTGAATCACTATATTGCATACCTAACACAAATATAACACTATATGTTAACTCTATTGGAATTAAAAGAAAAAAGAAAAAGAAAGACCAGATAATTTCAATGACAAAAATAGGTGCTTTTAATTTTTAGTGAACAGTTAGATAAAATCCATGTGTACTAATAATGGTAGATTAAACTCCCAAGTTCTCTAAATGACTCTAAATATATTTGATTATAAATAGTAAGCATTATTGCTCATTAGACTGTGAATCTTGACACAGAATTCTAGGTTTTATTTTTGAACTTCTAATGATCTGCTTGCATATGTGATTCTATTTTCCAACGACCATGGGAAAGGTATTAATTTTGCTCATCTATCTGCAAAAAAGTTGGTTACTTGAAAACGTTTTTTATTTGACTAAATAATTACCCTAATATGAAATGCTTTTCTTATAGATCTGAATATTCTAGATTGGAATTTTCAAAATCTTGTTGCTATAGCCCTTGGATCTTCTGTGTTCCTCTGGAATGGGGAAAACTACAATGTGATTGAAAACATAGACCTAAATCTCAATTGTAACTATGTATCTTCTGTGTCCTGGATAAGAGAAGGAACCTGCCTGGCAGTTGGCACCAGCGAGGGAGAAGTACAAGTAACAGTTTTTTTTCCCCCTCAAAATGTGCTCTGTGTAATTGCTACATAACTAAAATTGACCTTTAATAACAATATACAAGAGAGAATCTCAGTTAATTGTGGCGCTTGAAACTATGGGGAGTGAGTGGATATAGCATTCTGGTTCCTTTTCTGAATGGCATTTAATGAAGACGTAAGGATGCTCTACCTAGTTTTTTTCAGACCATCTTTCTTTCTGTCATGTTTACCTTTTTAAAAGTTTTTTTTTTTCAAAGATCTTATTTTTTTAAGTAATCTCTACACCCAACGTGGGGCTTGAACTCACGACTCTGAGATCAAGAGTCGTGTGCTCCTCTGATTAAACCAGCCAGGTGCCCCTAAAAGTCTTTTCTCTTGTAGTAAAGTTGGGCTTGTAGAATCCCCAGGGTTAGGACTTGGGAGAGAGGAAGCTAACCTTCAGCACTCCTTTCTCTGCACAAGCTATGCTCAGGAGTAGAGTTACTTAAAATGAATTTTTTTTTTTCCGATAGGCTCTCTGAAATGGGAATTTACCCAGTTTCCATCAATCTATTTAGCTTCTCATGCCTTATTATTACTAGCAATACTGTAAACTGTAGCAATACAGCAAAACTGTAAAAATATTGCTCATGTGTCCAATGACTTTGGAGGACCACAGATGGCTTTCACTGCCTTCTCATCTCTACAATGATATTGGATGCTATGAAGATTATGTCAATGATTTCTTCTTATAGCAAAGTTCTCATTTCTCATATGGGTCAGAGTATCACCTACAGGTGGCAGAAAAGGAGTCTCTTAGCCTGTCGGTGCATTTCCAGATATGAAATTCCACAATTTAGAAGAAACTAGACGTGTGAGAGCCATTCTCAACCTGTGGCTGCCCATTGAATTCACCTGGAGAGCTTTAAAATAAATGTCATAAAATAAATGCCGTATCCGTTATTAAATCAGAATGGCTAGCATCCATAGCAAGCTCCGTAGGTGCTGTCATATACAGACAGGGTTGAGAAATGCTGCCCAGGGTTAAAGGAGCTGAGCTTTCCCTTAGTACGAGGACTGGTGGTAGCAACACTAATTGCTATCAGGCCTTTAAGAAGACAGTGGACTGTGACAAAGACAAAGCTATATTTCTCTGCTTGTTCATTTTTTCAGTTATGGGATGTGGTAACTAAAAAGCAGCTGAGAAGTATGCCTGGTCATTTGTCAGTGGTTGCGGCTCTGAGCTGGAATGACTGTATTCTCAGCAGGTAAGACGCATCTTAGTGGAATGAATTATATTTGTATCACTGAGTGATTATGGGGGCTGAGTTGAACAGAACCATAATATTTAAAACCAAAACCAACCAAAACCAAACAGGATATTAGTTAGCAGCAGTTATGATCCTACCTTCTTGCATATCCTGATCTTCTGGTGAGGTAAGTGGTCCAGTGGCCACAGGTACCATGGTGGCTATGTGCCTGGACCATATGCTGGTATTGGAAAGTGAAGTTCAGGATCCATTAAATTGTTCAGATAAAAGGTAAAAATCTGTTTAAGCAAAACGTTTCTCTGTACCAAGTAATACCCATCAGAGGGATATTTTGTTGGAATCAAGTATTTATTGCTATCAGGATCAGTAATTTGGAATATGTTAAGCTTCCTGGGGCGCATTTCCAATTCATAGATCCACAGATGTTAGAGCTGGAAGCAACCTCATAGATCAGCCGGTTCCATGATTCTCAAACTTGAGCATGCAGCAACATCACCTGAAGGGCTCCTTACAACACAGACTGCTAGTCTGTCTCCAGGAATTTCTGAATCAGTAGGTCTGAAGAGGTGCCGATAATTTGCATTTCTAATTTCCAAAGTGATGCTGATGCTTCGTCACTTTTGAGAACTACTAATTTAGTCTACCTACTTTTTTTTTAAATTTTATTTTATTATGTTATGTTAGTCACCATTCATTACATCATTAGCTTTTGATGTAGTGTTTCATGATGCATTGTTTGCATATTCTTTTTAATCAGAAAAGTTAAATGACTTTTTCCTATGATCCTATATAATTGATCTAAATATATATTGCTTTTAATAATTGCCATTCATTATCTTTTTAAAGATTTTACTTTTTATTTGAGAGAGAGCACAAGCAAGGGGAGCATCAGAGGGAAAGGGAGAAGCAGGCTCCCCGCTGAGCAGGGATCCCCATGGGGGGCTCGATCCCAGGACTCTGACATCATGACCTGAACTGAAGGCAGAGGCTTAACTGACTGAGTCACCCAGGTGCCCCATTGCCATTCATTTTTATACTGTAGTTCTTAAGGTAGGTTTAAATTAAATAAATTCCAAGGTCTTTTACAATTTAAGCAGCTATGATATAAATTTGAGATTTCAATACCTTGTGATTACAGGTCAAACTTAAAGCCACTTAAACAAAATACCTTATAAAATGCTAATCATTTACCGTGAGAAGTTGTAGTGAGGTCAGTTCTCTATCTGAATTCTTTTTACAGTCTGCATTGTTTAAATTTAGTTTTATTATCCATGAGGAAAATGAACAGATCATTTCTTATGATAGCAGCTAATATTTTTGGAGTAAAGTGTGCTGGGCATTGTGCTGTACTCTTTATGTGCATAATTGCGTTTTAATCCCTTCAGTAATGCTGTAGAGGGGTTTCTAATTTCCCGCCAACTTATTCTTAATGAATAAACTGAGACACTAGCCTGAGGTCACATGGTTAGTAAAAGGGGCAGAGTCAGGCTTTGAACCCAGGTGGTCTGGCTGCGGAGCCCATATTGTTCATCAGAAGGCTGTTCAGTGTGGTGCCTGAATCGTTTTTTTTTTTTTAAAGATTATTTATTTATTTATTTGAGAGAGAGAGAATGAGATAGAGAGAGAGAGAGCATGAGGGGGGGAGGTTCAGAGGGAGAAGCAGACTCCCCGCTGAGCGGGGAGCCCGATGCGGGACTCGAGGATCATGACCTGAGCCGAAGGCAGTCACTTAGCTGACTGAGCCACCCAGGCGCCCAACCTGAATCGTTCTTAAAAATATGAGACCAGATTTTGAGAAATTTCAGAAATAATTGTAGATAGTTGTTTACTTGTTCCTTGGAGAAAATTAGCCCAGAAAGAGTTCATTATCTTTGATAAAGTGATAGGATCTTTATCATTCTTTGGCTCCAAATCACGACCAGTGACATTATCTACTGGTTCTGAATCACATTGCAGTTTGCTGTGACATTCAGGTCATTTTCTACTCTTTTTAGGTATTAGTAGCATTAACAAAACTAATAGTAGATTTGTAGTTTAATAGAAAAAGGAAATACTACATTTCTATCTCTGACATTTCACTATAAAAATATATATACTAAAACCATTGCACTGAGGTAACATGAAATATTCTGAATTCCAGAAAAGTACTATTTCCTAGGTTCAGTACATAAACTACTCCCTGGGGAAATACGGCAATCTTCTAAATTTATCTTTTCCATAGCTGCCTGCATCATATTAAAGTCGTTAGAAATATCTGTCAAAATGGGCCACCTGGTGGCTCAGTTGGTTAAGCAGTGGCCTTCTGCTCAGGTCATGACCCAGGGTGCTGGGATCGAGCCCTGCATTGGGCTCTCCGTTTAGCGGGGAGTCTGCTTGTCCCTCTCCCTCTGCCCCTTCCCCCCACCTTGTGCTCTCACTTGCTTGTGTTCTCTCTCTCTCAAATAAATAAATAAAATCTTAAAAAAGATAAATATCTATCAAAGGATATCATCTCAATATCCACATTTGAAACTTTGCCACAAAAATTTTTTTCACTTGTGAAAACAATCACCCAGGCAGAATACTCTATCCTTAATTAACCCAACGAATGTTCAAAACCTGTGTCTTGAATCTGTCCTGAGGGGTCTTTTGGTAGTTTGAACTATGCTTTCCTTCATGTTTTCAAATGCTTATTAGCTATTGCTAGAACCCAGGCTCGAGTTTTCTGTTGGAAACCTGCCCCTTTACCTCTGTGCAGCGGGTCGAGGCTGGGCCGTGTTTCTCATCATGATGTTCGGGTTGCCCAGCATCACGTTGGAACACTTCAACACAAGCAAGCTGTCTGTGCTCTCAAGTGGTCCCCTGACGGCAGGCTGCTTTCCACTGGTTGTAGTGATGGACTGCTGACGATATGGCCCCATGACCCGGGTGCGAAAGCCCAGGTTCAACCGCTGAAAGTTATACCCCAACCTACAGCAGTCAAGGTAAGACACCCAATAGCTTTCCAAGTTGCTCTTCACTCAGCGGTCATTGACTATCCTTCACACATGAGAACGAAGCCATTAAGGCAATGCTTTGAGATTTTCTTCCCCCAGAATTTGTTTTGGATTTTGCCATCACTGTCTTGAGAGACAACCCTATTTATACACCCCCATGTGTCAGATTTTGTAGTTGTAAGTTACCGAAACCAGAGGTAAGCTAGAGCGTCTGCAAAAAAGTAAATGTATTTTCTCTTACGACTGAGGAGTCCTAGGTACATACAGCTGCTTTCAATACTGTCCAGATATAGGGCCTTAAATAATGTCATTAGAACCCTCTCTCTTTGGCTCTTGGCTCTGCCTGACTCTGTTGGGTTTCATTCTTTATTCAGACAACATTTTGTGGGCAAGATGGCTCTTACAGCTTCAAATTCAGATTCTCCCCGATGGGAGCTGATTAAGAAACTACGCTCCTTGTAACTCTGGTAGGAAAGTCCCAGGCAGGACTCTGGTGTGACTTTGGGCACGTTCTCATCTCTCAGCAGCTAACTGTGGTCAGAGAGATGGGTACACTGGCTGTCCAGGTCTAGGTCATGAGCTCACACCCATGGAAAGGAAACCCCCTATGACAAGGAGGAGGAAGGGTGCTGCATAGTTAAACCAATATTCTACCATTCTCTGCATAATATTTTTTTATTTCTCTGTATTTTAAATTCTTATTCCTAGTAAAAAAAAAATCCATACTTTCATTCCTTTAGTGTCATAGATATATGTCTTGGCCTCAACATAGTCTCAGAATATTTATCACTCACAGAGCAAAGAAATGGTTCTACTTTATTAACTACGAGCAAATTTGTTAGAATGAGAACTTACAAAGGTATCACGGAGTCTCCTGATATAGGGTGTAATATGTAGCACCTGCTGCTAAAGCACAGTGGTGGCTCAGTACTCTGGCTTGTGGTTTTTTTTTTTTTAAAGATTTTATTTATTCATTTGAGACACAGAGATACAGAGAGAGAGAGAGAGCAGGAGCAGGGGGAGAGACAGAGGGAGAAGGAGAAGTAGGCTCCCTGCTGAGCCAGGAGCCCAATGTGGGGCTCGATCCCAGGACCCTGGGATCATGACCTGAGCCAAAGGCAGATGCTTAACCATCTGAGCCACCCAGGCGCCCCGTGGCTTGTGGTTTTTTAATACCCACAGGACATTAAGAATGATTTTAGGTCCAAATTCCCATTATTAATGATTTGGGAAAAATCTAGGGAAAATGTATGTAAAATATTCTGTCTGCAAACAAAATACAAAAACAAAATAAAGCAAAACAAAAACCCAACACATGAAAAACCCAAGCCAAGCAAAACAAGTTACTTTCTTATGTGCCTTGTCAGAAATACAGTGAATTGAACCAAGAGTTTCTGAAGCCTGAGCAAGCCAAGCCTTGTGACAGCCAATGGCAGGATGGACATGTAGATAAGGATATACAGATATATATATAACTGAAATATTTCTTAGAATGTCCTTTAAAATTATTGTTACTCATCATTTCAATTATCAGTATAAATATGCAATACTGAATCTTATTTTTCAGGATTACCTATAGTAATTTATAAATAGGGAATCAAAGGCAATTTTCCTTTCTGAAAAAAATGTATTAGGAGTTGAAATGCATGAGAGTTTTTGGGGTGCGAGCAATTATGTGTGGCTCCATTTTGTCATTTCTTCTCTGACCTAAAACCTAAAGACACAGGTAGACAAATGAGAGAAAGGCTTCATTTCAGAACCAGATTCTGGTGGGCGCATGTCACCTACTCCAGCAGCAGATTTTTCCCCCATAGGACATGTTGAGTATATTTTTTAAAATATATTATTGGACGATTTTTCTTGGTTTAGAATACTGGCAGTTCTCAAAATTTGAGGAAGGCACCTAACAGGTGATTTCTAGTCCCTTAGAAGTAATCTCTAGAGAGTGCCATCGCTCCAGCCTTTAGATCAGAGCTCCAGGAAAGCTGGGGTGTGCGCAGACCTCTGGACTCCTGCTTACCTGAGTGTGTCACTTTCACAAGTTCACCTTCTCCAAGGCTGAGCTGCCTGTGTGATTATTTGAACTTTCAAGGCCATGGATTGGTGTCCCTGGCAGTCTGCAGTCCTTGCTGTTGGAGGCGGAATGGAAGATGGACACTTACGTGTCTTGGACATAAATACTGGGCAAAGCATCCAGACCCCAAGCACAAACTCACAGGTAAACATCTCTGTGGGAGTTTGCCTTCACTTTGATCTTTTAGAACCTTGTGAAAATGATTGCTGAGAGAGCATAGGACCCAAACACACCTCTCTGTACTTTCTGAGTCTATAAGGATTTCAGTTCTTGACAGTTCGTTTTTGTAAAATTTTCTCTGGGAGTTGCAAGTTGATCTGTGTGTCTTTTCCTTCCCCCTCTATTTCCCTTCTTTCTTTCTTTTTTTTTTTTTTTTATTTATTTGACAGAGAGAGACACAGTGAGAGAGGGAACACAAGCAGGGGGAGTGGGAGAGGGAGAAGCAGGCTTCCTGCTGAGCAGGGAGCCCGACGCGGGGCTCGATCCCAGGACCCCGGGATCATGACCTGAGCCGAATGCAGATGCCTAACCGACTGAGCCACCCAGGCGCCCCTTCCCTTCTTTCTTAGCATTGCTTTATGCTCATGTTTGTAGGTTCATTGCACCTAAACCTATTTGTATACTTAGTCTTTTGTTGTCTTGGGATCAACTTTCCTAGAACTAACATAATTCCTCTAACACCCTAACCCCAGCTATGGACTGGAGGATGGATGTGGACCAAGCATACTGCCTAGAATCCATTCGAAATACATTCCTAATGAATCAGACATTGTCATAACTCTGTATTTTTTTTGGCCATTATTACAGATTTGTTCCCTAATCTGGCTACCTAAGACAAAGGAGATTGCAAGTGGCCAAGGTAGTCCCAAGAATGATGTGACTGTGTGGGCCTGTCCTGGTCTGGCCAGGTCGCGTGGATTTTTGGGTAAGTATGTGGGTGAGTAAAACGCTGTGTATCCATAGCTAAGTGAGCTGCCATTGGCCTGAAAAGCCCTGAATGAAAGGCCTTCTCCTCTGGCTCTTTGAAGTATTTATTTTATCAGAGGAAAAAGGCCTATACCCATTCCACCTCAGGGCGCGTGTAGATGACTGTTTCTGAATTTGACTAAGGCTATTCTTTACTTACAATGGTCCTGTCTTCTTCTTGCATACATGCATGGATGAAGCACTGATGATCAGGGATAGTTTCTAAACTCTTCTGGAACTCTGGAGTTAGTATCATAACTCACCTTTCCTTATTTTGCAGAAGACCCAGCAGTGCTGCAACGTGTGGTTTTATTGAATATGCATCTACTGTGTGTGAGGCAATTTGGGGGGGTGTTGGGGATATACATATAAACAAGACAGACATTATCTTTGTCCTCACGGAGCCTATACTTTAGTGGGAAGAAACAGACTGAAAACCTCAAATATACACAGCGTTAGACAGTGATAATACCGTGACTCTCTGTAGATTCTGAGAATGTTATTCGGCAACAACAAAACACCCTTAACAGAAAGACTTCCTGCTCCTGCGGGTCAGTCTGACCTCAGAATGACTTTGATATCCTTAAGCTGTTACACCGTGTGATTTGGTAAATAAAAATGTAGGCAGCTCTTGACAGAGCTACCTGGGTGGCCAGGCGTGAGTGTAGGAGGGACGTGAGTTGATCCTTTGCATATTTTAAAGCATAAGATACGCAATTCATGGGATATGTTTTCTGATTAGGGAAATATTTTTATTTTATTTATTTATTTGAGAGAGAGAGAGAATGAGTGGTGGGGAGGGGCAGAGGGAGAGAGAGAAGTAGACTCCCCGCGGAGCAGGGAGGCCAACATGGGGCTCGATCCCAGGACCCTGAGATCATGACCTGAGCTGAAGGCAGATGCTTAACCCACTGAGCCACCCAGGTGCCCTAGAGAAATATTTTAAATCAAGTCTTAAACCTGGTTCTTTACAAAACTACATTTCCAGTAGCTAGTTAGATCTTTCAGTGAGGTGGGGGCCTCTGACAGATCCTGGAGTCAATTTGCTGATCCTGGGAATAAGGAATGAACTGAACCGGTACATTTTCCCTTTTCTCTAGCCTTGACAAGCTATAAATTCTTTAGTTGTAATGCCTTGTGCTCTTTTCCATTGATATTAGAGTTCCAAAGAGTACATTTAACCTTTTCTCCTCTTAACCTGTTTGTGGTTGGAGAAGATGCAGTTACTTTCCCGTTCTTAGACACTAATGATCATCTCTGACCCAGTAGTTTCTTACACATGCAATATTTCCCCAAAGTATTTAGCAGGGTGGTTGTTATATTAATGTATATCATGTGGTTAGCATTAAAAAAATGAAATAGAATAGTAGAGAATGGAAACAATGTAAAAGTAGACATTATTTTATGAAATTTTTGTTACAGTTCTGCAGCACCATATACCTGTCCATATATCTAGCTAGGGGGATGGTCATCTCAAAGAACCAGTACAGTTTACACCTCAAGTGAGCTCTGGAATTTCGATATATTTCAAAACAAAATAGTTTTGAACTGTGGATTGTGGTCATAAAGCCTGGAAAAAGCTATTCTAGATTATGGCCACGCCTTTCCTTTGTCTCACCCTGTTAACCACACTTATGATTCTCTGGGGGGAAAATTCAGTTGAAGAGGCCTCCCCCATCTAATGGCAGAAGAAAGACAACTCGCCATCCTTCCCCTCACCCTCCAAAAGTTGTAATTTACAAGCTTTGAAACAGGAATAGGTAACTTTCTAGCCTATAGGTGAGATCTGGCCTTTGATTTGGTTTCATCAGTCCCTAGCACATGCATCGATAGGTGGTCTCCTTTATAAACAGCTGCATAAAGAAAACAAAACTTTCAATCCTTTCAGTAATAATACTCTTGGAATTTAAGGATGTAAATCCTAAAGGATGACCTTTGTCTGAGGTAAAGACTGCATTTCCCACTTAATCTAGTAAATTAAGATTTTCACTAATATGAGAGACTTGTTTCAAGAATGCCTTTGCTTCTAATCCAAACTCCATTTTCCTAACAAATTCTGGAAGTAGTTGTCCATTTTTTTTTTTTTTTGTCAAGACATTTTTCAAAAGCCTGCTTTGGAAAAGATTTGGAATTTTTTTCTCTGTTACTCCTTTTCTGCTCCCCCCCCTTTTCTTCATCTCAACACATCATAATAAAGAATGAAAGCATATTTATCACCTACTGTGTTTATTGAATTGACTTTTAAGTTTAAAAGCATCCATGTAATGTTTTATATTTATCCTAACTAAATTAAGTGGTTTTCATTTATATTGCTTTAATTTTTAAATGTTTAATTAAAAAAAATAAGGGACACTGGTCTTCCATAGGAAAAGAGATTCTTCTTTGCTCTGGGTTTAGAGAATGGGCTAAATAGTTAGAACACTGAATTTGATTCTAGTTCTGGCTCTGCCATTAATTAGCTCTGTGACCTGGGACAAGGCAGTTGATATTCCTGGATTTTTTTTTTATCTATAAAATAAGGGAGCTGCTTTGTATCTATGAATCTAAATTTTTTAATGCACTGATACACCCAGGGCCAATCCCTCGTCTCTTTGGGGGTGTGTGGGTATGTACGTGCGTGAGCATGCAGGAGAGCACTGGGAATGATGTGTGTGGATCGAAAAATTCCCAAGTGTCTGAGATATGTCTCCTTCAGGAGTAGAATATGTGTATGCACTCCTTGATGCTGAGAATCTGGTGTCAGGACACAAGATTATTTCTGAAATTCCAGAGCTCGCTTGAGTTGTAAACTGTACTGGTTCTTTGAGACGACCATCCCCCTAGCTAGATTTTATGTGTGTCCCCAAATACCTCCTCAATCAAGAACTTACCCAACCTCTTTCCTTCCCTCCATCCTCCTGGCTCCAGCTTCCTTTCATGGAGTCAGTTTTGTTTGCTTTGGCTTGAAAGTTTGATTTTTAACAGTCACTGTTGGGTTAGGATAGATTTTGCCAAGTATTTTCCAAGGAACATGAGCCACGTGAGAAGTTCATATCAAAAGGACTCTGGTCAACTAAGTTTCAGAAATGCTGCTTATTATAGTCTTTTCTCCCAAATAAAGCAGTCTTGAAATAAGGAATCCTGTTTAATTTTTTTTTTTTAACCTGGAGATCCCAAACTAATGTGAACATTAAACACTTTTTCCCCCTCATTTTTAATACCTATTAACCTCATACAGAATTATTGTTACACAAAATGTTCTTTGGGAGCTGATCAGTTAGATAACAGAAAAAAGTGGACTGTCTCCAGAATTACATAACTAAGAGCTTTTTGGGTCCTTTCCTATCAAGCTGCCTCAATTTATTTGATTAGCTCCTTAAAACCTAGGTCCCAAGGGGATGACTTTTGGAGACAATAAGAAGGAGGTTGGGATGGGTGGCAGGAGAACAGCAGTAGCAATTCCTGGGTGTTGGTGGATTAGAGAAGCTAGAACTGATAAGGGTTTGGGGCATGAGGGGTGTGGTGGGCTAAATGATCCCGCCACGCTATCCTCGTCAAATCCCTGGAGGCTGTGATTGTGACCTTATTTAGCAGAAAGGTCTTTGCTGATGTAAGTTGAGGATTGTGAGGTGAGATCATCCTGGATTATCCAGATGGGCCCTAAATCCAATGACAGGTGTCCTTCGAAGAGACACACACAAGAGAACAAGCACATGGAGGAAAGGGCCATGTGACCACAGAGGCAGAGAACAGAGTGATGTGGCCACAAATCAACGGTAGGAGGCACGGGTTGGACTCTCTCCTGGAGCCTCCAGAGGGAGCTAGCCCTGCCAACTCCTTGATTCTGGACTTCCGGTCACCAGAGTTATGAGAAAATAAATTTCTCTTGTCTCAAGCAGTGTGTAGTAATTTGTTATGGCAGCCCTAGGAAACTAATAAAAGGGGGGAAGAGCTCTGAAAGGGAAACCCAGTGAAGCAAAACCTCAGCCACTTTAGGTTGCTGCCCACAGTCAGCTCTGACTGGTGTTTACCACAGCAAAGGCACAGTGGGAACGCCAGCTTCAAACATGGCAGGTTTCAGAGAAGCCTTCATCCTGGGACGGGATATGTGCCCCCCGCCCCCGGCCCCCCGGCAGCAACAGCCCATGTAGTGTGGGACATGAACTGTCTTCCCTTCTTCTCACAGGCCCCAGAGGCAGAGTGCTGCACCTGGCTTTAAGTCCAGACCAGACCCGGGTGTTTTCTGCTGCAGCTGATGGCACAGCCTGTGTATGGAATTGCTGTCACTCAGCTCCTCCACGAGCTCCAGTTTCCTCACTTCGAAGTGAGAATAATGACAGTGGCCTTGTCTTCTCCATGGATTTGTTGTGACGATCAAACAGGATGAAGTGCTTTTTCGGAGGTGAATGTTCTCGTGACCTTCTTTCTCAGGTTACTTTATTTGCTCTGCTTCCTTCTGTTGCATTTCCCAGATGTTGTCTTTGCCTCTTCTCTATTTTCCCTCCCTCATCCTTCTCTTCTTCCTCCTCCTTTTTCTTCTTTTCTATCTCTTCCTTGTTAGGGACGTGTTGCCACTGTGATAGAATATCTATAGCAGAGATTTCCAAACACCTTTTTCCCTCTTGACTTTTCTCCCAATCTCCAGTCTCATATTTCTTTCTGCCTCTGGATATTTCCTTTCTGAGATCCTTTCCTGTATTTAGCTTAAACCAAATACATTAAAAACATCACTTATTCACTTGAAAAATATTGGTTAAAATCCTACTATATGCTAGGCATTATGTTAAGCATGCACATTATTTCCTCTCAAAATGAGATCCCCTGTAGGACTCCCTTGACCCTCTTCGTGGTCTCATCCCTATCTTGGTCATCCCATCATTCAGGGAACCTCCTGATTCTTCTGCTCCATGCTTAATCCATTCACACCTTGTTCTCTTCTGTTTCATTTTAGTCATGTCCTGAATACCTGATGACCACTCAGTTGTAATTCCTTCTGTTTTTCCTGTCTTTATTCTTCATGGGTCTCCACCACACTGTTAAGTTACATTTCTAAAAGCATGGTGGTGATCTGCTCAGCCCTCTGCTCAGAAATTCTCAGTGACTCCCTATTACATAAAGCCCTTACTTAAATCTTAGGGTCCTGAGCCCTAGACCTGCCATAGACTGACTGAGTGACCTTGCAATGTGGTCATAACATTTACAAGAACAGGAATTTGGATTTGATAATTGTTAAGCTTTCTTTAGGCTCGATCAGGCCACTGTTCTCTCTCTCTCTCTTTTTTTAAGCAGTCTCCATGCCCAGCGTGGAGCCCAGCGTGGGGCTTGAACTCACAACTCTGAGATCAAGACCAGAGCTGAGATCAAGAGTCAGACTCTTAACTGATGGGGCCACCTGGCACACCTGTTCTATCTTTTAAATGTTAATCCTTGCTCATCTCCTGTGTTGACCCTGGGCTAAGTCTTGCAATTTTCCTGCCTTGGTGCCTTTGTTGGAGCTTTTCTTCTAGTCTGAAATTCCTACTACTCTCTTCCTTTTCTTTGCTCATTTAAGTCTTAACCTCTCCAGGAAGTGTTTCTAGATGATGTTACTTGGGTTTGAACTCTTGGCACCAGTCTGTACCACCCACTTGAACATTTCTTGTACCCTACAGACTTCCGTGCATCTACTCTCTGCCAACACCTATTATTCTGACCTCTATCACTATAGATTAGTTTTGTCTTATGCCAACCTGCAGATAAATGGAATCACACCCTGTATATCCTTTTTGTCTGACTTCTTTCATTCACTATTAAGTTTGTAGTATTAATTCATGTTGTAACTTGTAACTGTAGGTTTTTCTCTTTCATTGCTGTGTGATATTCCATTGTATAAATGTATGACAATTTTTGATCTATCTTATTGTGGATGAATATTTGAGCTATTTTCAGTTTTGACTTTAAGAATAAAGTTGTGGGGCACCTGGGCGGCTCAGTTGGTTAAGTATCTGACTCTTGATTTTGGCTCAGGTCATGATCTCAAGGTCGTGAAATCAAGCCCTATGTCAGGCTCTGTGCTCAATGGGGAATCCGTTTGGCAGAGTCTCCCTTTACCCCTCCCCCTGCTCACATGCCCTCTAAAAATAAATAAATCTTTAAAAGAAAGAATAAAGTTGTTATGCACATTTTTAAACATTCTTTAGTGGACAAAAGCACTCATTTCTGTTGGGTATATACCCAGGTGTGGAATTGCTTGGTCATAGGATATGTCTGTTGAGTTTTAAGTAGTCACTGCTAACTTTCCTAAGAAGTATCAGCAATGAATGAGGGTTCCATGAAACTACTTTTTAAGTGGACTTCAAAATCTGTAATGTTGCTAGCAGGGAATATTCCATCCTCTTATTGCGGTTAAAATCCTAACTATGAATTAGGGATTATCACAGGTATCTACAGTATCATCCTAGTGACTCTGTTAGAGCCCTGTTTTAGATGTTAGTACCAGACCTCACTTTTTAGTGTAGGGACTCCCATCCCTAGCTGTATATTGGAACCACTGGGGAGATTATATGGAGAATATTATGTCCTGGGTCTCACTGAATACAATTAAATAAAAATTTCTAGAGGTGGGGCCTGAGCATTTGTAATTGAGCAACGCTCCCTTTGTTTTAAGTGGCTATCTCTTGGTGGTGATGTATGTTCTTGGTTTGGGTATACATTGTGTGTGTGTGCATGCGCATGTATACTCCTAAAGGAACAGATGGAAATTGAAGGAATCCATTCACATAATCCCATTTTGAAGTGGCTGCTGGACTGATGACTACCCAATGAGTTCAATGTGCTGAATAACAACATAGGGGGTTTTCGAGGAAAACTTTGAGCACTTACTCCCTAGTATGTGATGGCAGCCCCTGTAACCATTGTGTTGGTTGGATCCACCCAGGCTCAGGGATGAGGAGAACCAAGAAATCACCTAGATAATCAAAGGCTTATATGCAAACTAATGAGAGAGGAGGCTGACTCTCTGCTGTATACTTTTCTTGTCTGGCCAAGTGCATCATTTCTGTCCCCTAGAATTTTAATTTTATTTCTCACCTGCCTTTGGAAAACACTGTAAGACATCTCTTCTATTTCTTTCTTAGACTCAGGTTCTTGAGCTAGATAGAGAGATAGAGAGACAGAGAGATAGAGAGATAGATAGATAGATAGCATGTGTGATGTGGAGCAATGGCCTTAGAAGGGCAAATGCATTTCCTTTTAACCCAAATGCTCCAGATTGTTCCTGTTTCCTGCAGAATTGTTAAGCCTGTCGCTAGACAGACCTGATCTTATTGTCACTCCTGCTGGGCCCCATTTGGACAGTGAATAATTCAAGGAAAGTGTGTATGCCACTTGACACATGGATGACACTGTGACACTGGTCCCCTCATCTCTCCCTTGCAATATGTGTAAGGTTGTCATATTACTCTGCTTCACTTTGCCAGTGCAGATCTGCTCACTGAAGGTATAGGAGAAATGGGTACAGTTACACAAATTGATTTTATTTATGGTAAGATTAAAAAGTCACAGCAAGTGCCTATCCCGTAAACGATGAATCACAAAATTCTACTCCCGAAGCCAATACTACACTATATGTAACTACCTGGAATTTAAATAAAAATTTGAAACAAACAATGAAAAAAGAAGTGACAGCAAATGAAATGAAGTACAATTAGCTAAACTAACCCCTTCATAGTCTTAATTATCCAGTTGAGATGCTTCTGCGAGAGAAGAGTATAGATGCCAGGTCCTCGAGGGTCTCCGCATTTTCCTGGAAGGCCAAAGGCAGTAATGCCTCTAAATGTACCCTCACATATCAAAGGGCTTCCAGAATCTCCCTGGAGGAAAACAAGAGAGGGAATGGGGATCAGCATGGAACATGATCACTAGTGGGATGGGAAAAATTCTGTTGAATGTGGAACATTCAATGTGAAGTTAAAACCAATCTTGACTTAAATGAAAATTAGTGCTGAAAAGTCCCAAATGTTTGGAAATGTTTTAATATTTTTAAAGTGGCTTACTCAATTTATTTGTAAACCAGTGAACATGAAATAAAACTTGTATTGTTGCTCATGTTACCCACTAATTTTGAGACTGATTCTGCTTTAGAAGGGAAACCCTCCTATTTGTCGTTTTCTTAAAATGCTTAATTACCCCTTAACTCAAGGGGTAAAATAGTGCAATGCAGATGGGATGTTGAGGCAAAGAGCAAGCACCATGTCTTCTAGTTTCTCTGGCATGTGTTTTCCTAAAGGAACAAAACCAAAGCAACTTTCCCCTTTATCTGTCAAATAGACAGAAATTGCTTCCCCAAGTCTCTTTGGAGCATCTGACACTAGACGGGACCTTCCAGAAACCAGTGATCACACTTCAGAGCTAGCTGACTCCGCCAACAGAGAGGCTTCAGTTAGCTGGAGGTCACTGCTTCATGCCCCCTGCCTGTGCCACCACTGTGTGAGCCTGGATTTTCTCATAGAACTCTAGAACCAGCGTATTTTAAATGTATTTGAGGTCTAGAGTCTGAAGTGGTCATTTCACAGCTCTGGCTTTAGGGAATATCGGTGGTGCTAGACAGAGGGCCACTGAGGCATGTGCATAAAACTGCAAACGCTGGACTCTGAGTGCCCAGCTCCTTCCCAGCCACATGAAGGCATCAGTGGTCCCTCCTTTTCAGGCAAAAATTGGCCTTATGAGTATATGAACTGAGGAAGTATGTGGGAGCCTGGGATCCCTACTGGGCAGGTATATTTCACAGAGGGTCTGAAATTTTCACAGGGAGTCCTTCAGGTTTAATTCACCCACGGCCAATTCTAAGGGGTCTTGGGCACTAAAAGGATGGCAGAAGGACTGCTAATCTTCAACCCTGGAGGGTGGCTGTGGAGAGGACAGGCACACTGGGACGCTGCTGTGGCCTTAGGATGTCGCATGTGGTTCCAAGGGCGCGAAGGTTCTGGGTTCCTGGATTGCCAGGATGGTGGATGAGGGGAGGGGAGGAGGGAGGGCAAAGGAGAGAAAGTGGAAAGGTGCAGAGGACCAATGTCATCTCTTCCTGGGATGTGCCTAGCCTTGGTTCTGAAGCCAGCCATTCAGATTCTGCAGATGTTTAGATAAGCGTCTGGGAGACCCCTGGATCTCTCAGTCTCTGATTCAAACTCCCAGACCACCTACACTGCAACTCCTTCTCTTCAGGGGAGGCTCTACAGGGTCTTTGGGAAAAGTGAGAAATGATAAACGCAGAGCTTAAAACTTCTAAGGAGTCTCTGCTACTTGTATCTTTAAGCAGGGCCGTGTCGCACCGCCTCTCAGGGGACTCTGGGATGGAGGCTTGCATAGTCTCTGTACGGGTCACATTTGGAAGT